CACATTGGGGTGGGGGGTGAGTGAAGAGGACGTGAAACTTTGATGAATTTACCTCAGAGTCGCGTGTGAATGCGTGCGCATATTTTAACGGGAATTAAAAATGGCGTCCACCCCGCAGCGAATGCGTCGCTAACCGTTGCCAGGGGCAACCGCCGTGGAAAACCAAACGGACCAATCGCGTCTCGCAAATCCCTCACATTTCGTCCAATGAAACTGCGTATGGTCCGGCGACACACAGACAAACAGACACACACACAGACAGACAGACAGACTGACAGACAGACAGATTTGCGATTTTATATATATAGATTAGTAATCAGGCAATTGTTACGATGTGAGTTGTAGATGAGTAATCAATTGTAATGTGTGTTATTGTAATTATATGCTACGTTAGTAATCAGTTAATTTGAGAATGTTAAATCAGCATCCCGCATGAACAAATTCATTGTTGTCTTTTTGAGTTGTGAGGCTTTAGTCAACACTGTGGTGGAGCAGGGCTTTGAGCTCAATGGCTCAATGGTGTTTGCCTTGCCTCTGTCTCCTCCAGCTGTGAAGGTCGGTCATCTTGTCAGTTTAGTTCAGTTCATTTATTAGCAGTGGCGGCTCGTCAATAGAGGGCGCAGGGGCGCCGCCCCCATCAATATTCAAGAAATATACATATGCAAAATTTATATAAAAATACATAAATAAAATATTTTTTTCATACGATGTGCCGGCTGGTAGTAAGAAAAGCATCAGCATTTAATAAAAACTGGCTTTAATCGGTCAACTATTTTCTATGTTTTCAATGTGTTTCATGCGGGGCGCCGGACAAATGGATGTCTATGTGAGACTTTACATTTTCGGACAGCATGTGACCTGAAGCTGGTCTCTAATTGGTTTCTTAAGATTCTCCTCGGGGCGCAAGTCGTTGCGTCCCTGGCCAATCAGAATTGGATACATGTTATTTTATCCAATCTGATTGGTTCTCGTCACCTGTCATTCAAATTTACGCTGTAGGCCACTACTGCGAGTGCGAAGGCGACACCACTTTGACACTTGCTAGGCTGATCAAATTTTTTGTGTAAACAATGGCAGCAGTTCATCCAAATTCTGTAATTTATTTACAAAAAAAACCCTTTCACAAGGCTTTCGCTGGAAGAAATAAAAAGATAAAGGATCTCGGACCGGACCAACCCGATTTACAAATCCAGCAGCAGGCCAGTGACAGAGGACGAAGCTACACACGAAGCTTCACCCGCGCTTGTTATGAGAAACGGAGGTGGCTGGCTGGATGTGATGTTAGCAATTCTCTTTTTTGTTTTCCCTGTCTTTTATTTCAAAGTGTCGGCACTGAAGTTTTGTGGACAACGACGGGGGTAAGAGACCTCAAACATCTCTCTGACAAATGCAAACGTCATGAAAGGAGCCGCAGCCATATGATAATAGCATGAAACTAACGTTTTTATGTTCAAGTAAGAAACATGCTTTTTGGTACTTTGGTCTGAAATGTATATAAAAGAGAAACATTTATGTTCAAGTAGGAAACATGCTTTTTGGTACTTTGGTCTGAAATGTATATAAAAGAGAAACATTTATGTTCAAGTAGGAAACATGCTTTTTGGTACTTCTTTTGGTCTGAAATGTAAATAAAGATCATCAAAATTTATATTCAAGTAGTCAAAATGGTTTTTGGTACTGCTTTATATTTATTTGCCCCCCTCAATAAAATAAAAAAAATGCGCCCCCCCAAAAATAAATATCACCAGCCGCCACTGTTTATTAGGTATAGCTCTGTGAGACATTTGGCTCTTGACTCCAGTGTAGTAACCTTTATCAAGGATGAGGACGTAGTAAAATATTTATCTCGTTCCAGAAAAATCATCTCTGAGTTGAGAATGATTCCCCTGGGATGCAAGGCCCCAGAGCTGAGGCATGTGATGTCCTTCAGGAGGCAAGTCTTCGTGATCCTGACAGGGCCGCAAAAAATGCCAAACCTTCAGTGTCAATTTTGACTTAAAACTTTCGTGACTGCAGGAATGATATTCTATGGTTCTTTCGGTAAAGTCATGTAGATAAAAGAAAAATAATAACAATAAAATAATAATTAATAAAAATTAAAATAAAGTGATTAAAAAATATTTGATCGCAACACAAGCAATCAACACAAGCAATCGTCGATTAATCTTCTTGGTTCTTTCGGTAAAGTCACATAGAAGGGAAATAATAGAATAATAAAATAATAAAGATAAAACATAATAAAATACAAATGATGTTTTATTTTTATGATTTTATTATCTCCCTTTTACGTGACTTTACCGAAAGAACCAAGAAGATGAATCCCTGCAGTCACGAAAGCTTTAAATCAAAATTCAATCGTCGATTGCTTGTGTTGCGATCGAAACGTGATATTTTTATTACTTTTTATTCACTTTATTTTCACTTTTATTATTTTATTGTTTATTAATTCACGTAGCTAGACAAAAAAAGAATAACAATAAAATATAATATAAATACATGTTAATTTTGATCTGTATGTTTTTTTCTGACTTATGTGAACGAAAAGACACAAATTCGCCTAGCTTTTTCCTCATTTGAAAATTGGTAAAATTCTAAATATCACTGTCCTGGTCACAAAAGCAAAGTTTGTGGGGAATGATAGCAATTTTCTATACTTGTTAGGCATAAACAATTACGAAATAACACGACCCATGAACAAAAATTGTGTTTACATGGTGTTACTATTCTGACAGCAAAATGATGATGAGTGGATTGAATGAATGGGGGTGAATGAGTGATAGTCATATCATGAGAATAATATTATTCTGAAAGTAAATGACGATGAACGTGTAGTGGTGATAACTACTCGCTGTTCGCAAGCTGTGAGAGAGCAGTTAATAAACAAGGTTTTCCCGCTCAATCAAACGGTAGGGTCAAATGGGTGTGAGGTAGGATCCAAACGCCAGATTGGGAAGGACCAATCGGAGGGGTCCACGAGGTGGCCGGGGATTGGTCAACCCGGCCACGAACCGGTACTAAAGCCGGAGCGTTGAGAGCTCTTGGAGTTCTGCTACACGAAGACCCAAGTCGGCTGAAGACAGCTAGGACCCTGGACCAAGCCTTCCAGCCCTTGTCAGGGCTGGGGCTCAGTGTAACCAGTGGTCAGGGGAGATAGGTCCTGGATAGGGCCCTGGTTCCCAGCCTTCCCGCCCTTGTAAGGGCGAAGGTCCTGAGCGACCAGAGGTCGGGGACCCGCCGGGCCAGCGGTGGGTCAGTGTGCCTCCCCTAGGTCCCAGCCGGAGGACGCTAGAATAGGAGCGAAGTGTGAGTGTGAGCTGTGCAGAGTCGGAGGGTTGTACCTCCTCAGGTTAACGGGTAAGGGGACCGTATACCCCTTGTGTGTTAGGGACTGTGTAATTAAGACAATAAACTGTGTGTGCCATAAGGAAGTTATTAGTCCGTCCTTTACAACACTACAAACGGATTCAATAAATGGGGGTGAATGAGTGAGAATAATTATTATTCTGAAAGTAAATGACGATGAACGAATTAAATAATGGGGTAAATGAGTAATAGTCATGCAATGGGAATGTGCAGAGGGAATAGGACCGGTGGTGGTGGTTATGAGGGGGGAGATTAAGGGGGGGGGTGGGAAGTCGTGGGGGTGAGCTCGGGTAACATCCAGCGAGTTGTGAGTGAGGAGCAGACACTCAGTGAGCGATGGTGACCGCTTCATATGAGGAGGAGGAGAGGGAGAGACTTTGACTTTTTTAAACACTTTTATTGCCGCCAGCAGCAAAAGCACTGGAGGCGATTTCGATATGAAACACACAAAGTCACCAGCCAAACAAATGAAAAATAAACGTTTCAAATCCACGCGCTGTGTCGCTAAAAGCACCGCGCACAAACACAAAGAAAAGTCACGTGGTTGTGGTGGTGGTCATCGCGGACGCCACGGTGACGAGCGAGCGCTTCAGAAGGTGAACACCACGAGGGTGCCGTCCACGCTGGTGCAGAGAGGGGCTTGTCCGGCTCCCCAGCGCTCGAAGAAGACGCGCTGCACATCACCGGCACGTGTGTGTCACGTGGCGTGCTCCAGCCGGAGCCGCGCCTTGAGCAGAGAGAGACAGAGACACACAGAGAGAGACACGAGACACATCACCGACACGTGTGATGTCACGTGGCGTGCTCCAGCCGGAGCCGCGCCTTGAGCAAGAGAGAGACAGAGACACACAGAGAGAGGACAGAGACACACAGAGAGAGACAGAGGACACAGAGAGAGAGACAGAGACACATCACCGACACGTGTGTGTCACGTGGCGTGCTCCAGCCGGAGCCGCGCCTTGAGCAGAGACAGACAGAGACACAGAGAGAGACAGAGACACATCACCGACATGTGTGTGGAACATGGCGTGCTCCAGCCCGAGCCGCGCCTTGAGCAGGCCCCTGAACACTGGAAGTTCAGAGCAGCCGTCAGTGTCACCCTCCAGCATCTTTTTCTCGTTCTGTACACGCCATCTTCGCCTGAGCATAGGCGAAGTTGGCGAGGTCATGGCGCTTGTTAGCCAGGTAAGGCACCGCCCCATATACGAAGCTGCTGTTGTAGAAGGGTACCACCACGTTTCCTGAAGATGTCCCCTAAAAGGCGGAACATTGGTTTGAGCCGCTGGCAGTGTAAGTACGGTGGGGCAGACTTTACCGAAAGAACCAAAGAGTAACCGCAGGAAATGCACAAATCTGTTACCCCTGGCGAGATTCGGCTGAGCCACACGGCCGATTGCAACGTGCAGTGTGCCAACCTCCACTGGAGGCCACCACAGCGTTTGGCTACGGGGGAGACTGTACGTGTGTTTCCACTGAGGGGCGGTCGCAATGAGGGGAGAGAAATGGTCTCTCCATTTTGTGTCCGGTAGGTCGGCCAGGTCCCGGAATGTACGCCTTTACGCAGCACGTGTAGAGTGCCGTGTTTGGGGCACTCATGAGGGGCACGTTCCTGCAGCCTCAGGGCTTGAGTAGCTTGCCGGAGTCGCTGTGGCCGGGGGGCTGCAGCAGGAGAAGCAAACTCCAGGAAAGAGGAGGAGGTGGGGGGCGCCACCATCCCCCGGTGCCTCAGCTTCAGGCGCAGCTCCTTCATGGCGTGGAGCACGTCCCGCAGCAGCTTCGAGAGAGCGTGGGTTGAGCACAAGGAGGAGGAGAGGGAGAGAGAGACAGCGTGTGGGTTGAGCACAAGGAGGAGGAGAGATAGACAGCGTGGGTTGAGCACAAGGA